TTGAAGCATATCCGGAGACCAATAGGCAGCCAGTGCAGCTCGCGGAGGATAGGTGTAACGTGGGTGTACCAGGGTGCACCCACAATCGCTTGCGCGGCTGCATTCTAGACAAGCTGAAGTCTCTGAATGCTCTTCAGGGGCTGCCCCGTGTAGAGCGCATTGGAGGCAGCCGGCAGTCAGCAGAACTAGCCTGCAGTACTGCACTCTAACCACTGCGTCACTGCAGCTCTCATTAGGATGCTAATGTACAATCAAACACAGGAGCCCAACAACCAATAATCAAGGCTCGCTGTAGTATTTATTTAACACGGTGCACTGTAGGAACTCTCACAGACATAAGAATGCACTGATATATTTCAAAAAAGGAGGAGAAAATGATACAGTCACAAATGTGCACAGGTAAATTAGATGGTGTAAGCTTGAACATTCATAATCGGCAAACCTCAAGTTACAGGTAAACAACAGTTCATATAGTGACCAAAGTTACAACGGCAATGAAAAAAGTAACTTATGATTGTTTCTCACACAACTGTTCAGCATCCTTGTGATCACTTGATTAAAATTCAGATGCTTGGCAATTGACTCATATTTGTGACGGTTGCAGTGTCCCGAGGTCATGTGTGATTCACCTTTTGCGACCTTCTAACAAGCAAAATCAATGGGGAAGCCAGATTCACTTAGCAGTCATTTTACTGCCTTAATAACTGCAGTAATTCACTTAACAACCGTGACAAGAAAGGTGATAAAATGGGGGGAAATGCACTTAACAAATGTTTCATTTAGAAACAGAAATTTTGGTTTCAATTGTAGTTGCAAGTTGTGGACTATCTGTGCTTCCCCAGCCTTCTGCTGTTACTAATCTCAAGAGTTGTAGTCTTAATAAAAAGAAACATGTTGGCTCCATTGCCATAGAAGGTTTGATAAAGCGTACAGAGAAATAAGGACTTCAAGGTTGCCTCAGTTGCCGCACATTCCTTCTATGTGTCTTATCTGTTTTCCTCGTACTCATCCTGGTTCAAGGAGACCTAGTGTGAGTCTCTATGGCTATCTCTGAATTCAGCAGACACCATGTCAAGTCTTTCTGGGGCCCCTTCAGAAGGTCACCAATTTCTCAAATTTCACAGAGCAGAAGTGGGTCATTATGAAGGAGATAAGTGGGTTTCCTGCCGTTTCCTGAACTCAAAGTTTACATTAACCTGAAATCTATTGAAATCTGTCATCTGCGCCTCTATAACTGTCTGGTTTGGTTCTGCAACCCAACAAGACAAACACAGACTTCAGAGGATAATCAGAACTGCAGAAATAAACAATGGCTACCAACCTGCCTTCCATTGAGGACCTGTACACTGCACGAGTCAAAAAGAGGGCTGTGAAAATATCTACAGACCCCTTGCATCCTGGACATAAATTGTTTCAACTTGTGCCCTCAAAACGACACTATAGGGTACTGCACACCAGACAACTAGACGCAAGGACCGCTTTTTTCCCGAACGCCATCACTCTGCTAAACAAATAATTCCCTCGCCACTGTCAAACCATTCACTAAGGCTGCATTACTATTACTATTAGTCTTCTCATCGTTCCTATCTGCCATCTTGTCCTACTTATGGCTGCAGGACTTGTAACTTTGTTGCTTCTATTCTTACAATTTATATTGATATTATTTCCTAGTATGATTTGATTGCTTATTTGTGCCCTATGACTATCACTAAGTGTTGTATTT